CGCCGGCGGGTGGGGGGTGGGGAGGGGTGGCAGGGTCCCCCATCGGGGAGGGCTGAAAAAGCACAATTCGTCGAGGAGAAAAAAAAGTTATATGTATTTTATACATTATTAGTAGACTCTAAAACAGATTAAATAAGCATTTTGAAACCCCTAATTTGTCAAAATTTTCAGGGGCTTTGCCCCCCCCCCCACCTGGACCACTTACAAAACCTTTTAATCGAAGCAGCTGCTGCTGCTGCTGCTGCTGCTGCTGCTGCTGCTGCTGCTGCTGCTGCTGCGAAAAGTTAACACAAACGATATGGTGGCTAAACGATCAATATCATCTCAAATTAGGCATTCCCCATATTACATTATACTATTGACTCAACTGTCTTGCACAACTTCTCACAAATACCTTGACATAACTTTTTCTCATGATCTTATGGCATGGTCATCACATGATGTTTCCACTGTCTCCACTAAATCTCACCAAATTCTTGGTTTCATTAAACGGTTCGTTGCTTTTATAGTGACCCCAGCATCCTCCTTTGCCTTTCAATGCTTTCTGTAGGCATCATAGGCGTAGATCCCATGGAGATGGGGGGATATATATACCCCAATATTTGACAGGGGGGGGTGGTCCATTGTATTATTCCCCCCCCCCCCAATATTTTGACTATGTATCGGATAAAATGGAGCTTTACACACTTCAGACTGTCACAGAAATAATTTGCACTGTCTTACAAAGATGAAAATTAGCATAATGTATTAATGTTGATCACAAAATTATTTTATCTGGTACCAATTTGAACTCTTCTTTCCTTAGATGTTAGATGTGCTTGCAAAGAGAGCCACATTACACACCGAAGGGTGTGTACTACGACAGTAATGTTATAATTCCAAGAATGTTTAAGGTTATATCGGTTGATGAGGAATTTATTGATTAGGCCTATAATAGCAAATTGTATCAATTCATTTTGCAAAAACAAGGTTTCCAGCTTCAGAGGGGGGCACATCCCCTCTCCGCACAAGGGCACACATTGGCGCTAACACCAGGCGCGTAACAGTGGTTTTGGGTCAGAGTGGGTATTTATTTTCTCTGTTAGTAATTTACTATACCCACCCCACCCCATTCCCCATATAGAAAATAATACGACATAGGGCTTATTATAATATAGGCCACACACGTGTGTTTGAAACTAAATACAGTATAAGCATTTTCATCGTGGTTTCATTTATTACAAACATATTCTTTCACCATCAATACACATTTAGGTCCTTCTTTTAGGTTAAAACGATCTATCTTAAATTTGTCTTTCTTGGGTTTGGGACTATTATGTGTTTAAATAACTTAAAAGTATATATAAACCTAAAAAAGCACTAAAAATTGCGCACGAAGCGGGCAAAATATTTGTGTGTTTTTAATTCTATTTTCGTCGGAATTGATGAAAACTCCCTGAAATATGCAATTCATAGAGGAAATTGGCCTACCGTAACAAGAAATGCGTGCAAAGAATTTGAGAATTTTAGGCACTTTCAGAGGATGCATTGTCAAGGGGTGGGAAAAGATTTTCCAAAGGTGGATATTTTCACCTTGTCCCCCGGTGTTTTTAATTCTAATTTCGTTGGAATTGATCGAAACTCCCTAAAATGTGCAATTTTTAGAGGAAATTGGCCCATGTTAACAAAAAATGCGCGCGAAGCACGCGAAATTTGAAGTTTTTAGGCACTTTCATGGGATGAAAAGGGCATTTATAAAGGGGTGGTGAAGATTTTTCAAAGATAGATATTTTCCTCTTGTCCCCCAGTGGTTACGCCATCGGGCAGCATAGATCAAAGGAGTTATGACAGTTTTTGAAGTGGAGAAGGGGTTGCAGGGTGTTGTGAGTCTGGTCATTATGATCACGCCAATCACCCCCACCCCCAATGAAAAATACTTTTCTACGCCACTGGTAGGCATATTCTCGAGCAAGGTAATTCAACAGAAGGACGCACATCTCCGCTCTCGAACATAGCGTGTGCGTACATTCCTTTGATCTTTACTGTGGCATCGACAATCCGATATTAGTTGCGAGTACAGCCGTCAATTATTAGTCTATGCATGCCATTCGTTTCATGGTGTTAGTTTTTATTTTATTAATTTTGGGTACTTCGCAATGCCTGTTACATCTGATTTTTTTTATCGCGAGCTTGTTAAATGCTTCTATAAACTGCAATTTTATTTGTGAAAATTGACCAAGAAAATGAAATGTTATAGCAATTTAAAATTTAGGAATTTTACAAAATTTCATGTTCTTTTATGTAACATTAATCTGTTATTTTGACAATGCTGGCATAAGGTGCAGAAAACGAACATTTGAGTATATACAGAGCATTTATTAATTTTTTTCTGCGAAGTGAGTCTCATGAACGACAATTTACCACAATTTTTGTAAAATTAATGTTGAAATGAAGAATATAATTTCAGTCTAATGTTAGTGCAAAACATCATTAGGCCTTTGTAATCACCGCATGACGCGCGATTAGCATGGCAACTAACACGCGCGTGAGTAAATCGTCACGCACGTTGAAGGTTTATGGCCTGGTTGCTATGGTTTTTGTGGCGTTTAGCATGTAGGGACGCAGGTGCACCTAGAATGTCGATGCCAGATTTATGGCTATGTTCAGACCAGACCATAGAGATATATTAAGAATACTTGAGCGCTAACAGCAATGTATTCGATGTTTCGACACACGCAGAGCTGTGTGTATGTATGTGTACCATCCAAGATGGCTGCCATAGATTCAGCCAATCAAATTTCCCCTGAGCACTATCATTTTCAATTGCGCCCTCAATTTATACAGAAAGTTCAGTACAGCTAGTTTACCCGTATTTTGAAACTTGAGCGTTGCGGTGTATGGGTGTAATGTACACGATCTTAATTCTTTTTAATATTTGAATAAGATGCTCTACTTGGCCTTTTTTTGGCTACGACAGTTTAATAATTTGTCATTATCAATACTAATTATCATTAATGAAATAATATTTAGTCAGAGGGCTTATTATATACGAATATTTCGCGCGACTACTTACGCTAGCGTTCATTAAACGCCCAGTCTGGACATCTCGCGAGTTAACCCATGGATTAATGTACGCCCGGCGTTAGATACGCCTGCCGTATCTCACAGGTCTGAACGTAGCCATAGCAAATTTCATAAAAAGACGTTTAAATATTTTCGTGTCAGCCTGTTGTAGTACAGTATCATTTTAAAAAAGAGAGAAAAAAAATGTGTCCATAAAAAGAAACCCTTGAGTATTTCTTCCTCATTTTATTCCAATGAAATAATGAAATAGGTACTTGGCAATAGTTTTATGATGATTTTGAAATACTTTCAATAAGATAATTGAGAAATAATTGGAGGTCTTCGTTTTTTTAGGTTTTCAGTCTTCTGTTTGTAGACATCCCATCAGGTCATCCACCCGGCTTTTTGCCACACCCGGACTATACTCCTTCTAGGCCTTCTTCAATCTGGTCAAACAAATTTAAATTAGGCCCAAGCCTATGCCCTTTTACGAATGTGAATAAAAACGACACACAAAGGGTAGATGTATGTCGTTGAGGAGATGGAAAAAATGCGTGTAAGACTTTTGTAAAACTTACATTTATCAAACGCTTGGAAAACTATTAAAATACTGAAAGTGTGACCCGACTGGCCCTGCTTTTTTTGCTGACCTCCACATTCCACAGGGGCAGTTTAGAGGGGTACGTATTGTATTTCCGATGAAATATGCCAGATTTTTTTAATTGTCGTCTAAAATAGTTTGTTGAATATAGCATGAATGCAATTTGAATTGTCCATCCCAGTTTTGAAATATTTGATTTTTTTAAATTATGTTCCTTTACATACAAAATCCTCCTACAATCCTCACAATCAAGAACTGGATGAATGAAACGTTAATTCTTCCAGGTAAATCTATTAGTTTATTCCACACAATTTATAATTGTTTTTAATTGATTGATGTTGATTTTATATATCTTTACTTTTAGGTAATTATATCTGTCTCGAAGAATACTTTAATAATATACTCTTTTTTATTATTACCAAAATAGAATTGAAAAGTTAAGGAACTTGATCTTTCCCTGAGGGTTCTCTATTTCCTCTTTTTGATGAATAGCAATGATTATTAACGACGGATACATTTCATGATTTGTGTGACAAGGCCTAACTAAAATATAATCATTACTCTACAGATCTATGTCTAGCTCTTGGGGTTGAAAATGGTACTATCCACTCCAACCAGCTGACAGCATCCAGCGAATACTTGAACAGTCTTGGGGCTCATCGAGGACGACTCAACACAGTATCAGATGCAGGAGGTTTCGGAGCCTGGGCAGCAGCAAACAATGACCTAGATCAGTGGATTCAAGCCGATCTTGGTTCAGTGAAACGCGTAGTTGGAGTAATAACACAAGGGCGAAGTGATGAGGATCAATGGGTTAAAACATACAAAGTTAATTACAGTACCAATGGTGGCATTTTCGCACCAGTATTGGGATCGAATGGTCAAGTTGAGGTATGTTGTTATAATTAATTGATATAAGACAACGACGAGTATCATGAAATGCGGAAATGTGTATTTATCATAATGTCACTACTTTTAGATTTTTAGTGCAAACTCAGATGAAAACACCGAGGTGAAAAACATATTCAGCTCTGTTGTCTATGCTCAATTCATCCGTATCAATCCAATAACCTGGTATGGACACATCAGTTTAAGATTTGAGCTTCTTGGCACAGGTAAACCTTATCTAAGCATATGCAATTATTGTAGTAAGTTAAGACAATGTAATAATACACATTTCAACTATATCATCTAAAGTCTGATTATAACAACACCAACAGGTGCCACAAATATTTTATTATTACATTCAGCTATAAATAAATTGTAAATACGGCTCGTTGTAAGTAGTAATTAGGCCCAATAAAAAAATGATTATTTTATCACATTCGCCCGCATGTCTTTTATTGTATTGGGAAAAAAACCCCAAAAAACATTTTGGGAAAAAAACATTTTTTTAAAAAAGTATCATATGAAGTATAAAAGTATTTATGATATGATATAATATTATGATATATTCAGCAGTGGATCCAGGATTTCAAAAAGGGAGGGGGGGGGCTGTCTCTTATACACATCTAGATGTAAGGGTGGGAGTCCTCCCCCGGAAAAAAATTGTATTCCTAGATGGCCTGGAAATGAGCTTTCCGACTTCTGAGGTGTCTTTTAATGACCTTTTAAGTTCTTCAAAATTCAATGTTTTCCCTCTCTTTAAAAGGTCAGATAATTTTATCTCATTCTTAGGCCTATACATAGAGAAAATAGAAAATAAAAGACATGCAATACAGACCTGTCAACCCATTCGCTGTAAGTCTTACGTATTCCAATCAAATCTTACGGTCTTGCGCAAAGACCGACAAAACTTGTGCTTATCCTAAAATTTGAGTAAATTTTGTTTCTTTTTCAATTTAATCATAACATTTTACCTCCATGTTTCAATAAATATTGTATCTGAGATCATTATAAACTCACTAATATCGATTACATATGCCATTTAAGCCAAAACGACCCCGACCAGGAACTCTTGGAGACCCCCCTGGCTCCTAGCCACTGTTCGTGCTTTCGGCACTCATTATCTGTCACCCGATATACTCTTTGAAATTTTTTCAAGGTTAACAGGTATGGCAATATAAATTAAATATTCCAACAATATTGAGTAGTTGAATAGTAGTCTTTCCTCCATGGATCGATAGGCCTGAAGAATGCACTTTCGTACATAAATTATTAAGACATTGAACCAAACACAGTGTTTGTTAAATTTATTTAATTGAAGGCTAGTTGAGCTTGCCTAGTTTGTCTGATCTGCCAACCTATGCCTAGGAAGGTTAGCATGCCTTTTGTAAGCCAGGACTCAATAGTATTTTGTTACGTTTCTTCACAGAGGAGGTTCGTCCGAACCCCTCGCCCCTAGATCTGCCACTGATATTAATGTTAGGGAATTATTAACTAGAAGATATAAAGTACCAATATCCCGTTACATTTGACATTAAATCTTTACCTTGCATGATTTTTAAAGAGTATGAATGTAAATTAGCTACAATTACGTTAAAAATTGGTGATGAACAATTAGGCTTATTGGTAATATTATGTATATAATTTTTAAATAAAATAGAAATCTCAAGAAATATAAGTGCGTACATCCAATGAAAATTGGATCATGCACAACTAATACATTCAATGCCATACCATCCTACTAGGTTCCTATTTGTATTCTTTGGTGAAGATAGGCAAATGTAAGTAAAATACCAAACAAAATTAATGGAAATTGAATAGGCCTACATTATGCTTTCCATAGATTACGTGTCTAAAATTGATTTTAAAGTCTTTGGAAGCTATGGTGAAGTTGTGACTCAACTGGTTCAACCTCCTTTACCCATCTCCATAACACATAGTGCCGGATTTTAGAAGGCGATGTAATTTAAATTCAATGAAATATGCCAGATTCTTTTAAATACAGTATCGTCTGAAATTACATTCGTTTTATAATGTTAAATATCGGTTGGTTGGTGATGGCTTTTTATGAGTGGTATGACACAGTTCCTTTTAGTTCACTGCAAACTTTTATTAACACAAACTGTACGTTGGTTACAATCAGCTAAACTCCAAGTTTCAGATGTTAGAGAACCCTTTTTGAGTGGAGTCAGCTCGGCCCTGTACTTTTCTTCTGTGTTGAATCTAACTACTGACTACTGCTTACTGGTTACTGACTCAGTGATATGGGGGTGTTTGATAATTATACTTTAGGTAATGGGGGTGTGTCTGAAGTAAGTCATCCCATAATTTTAGAGTTTATGATTGGATCAAAGAGAAATTCTTTCTCTATGATTTAGTAACTTGTTTACCAAAAAACTGCTAATTAAGATGTATCACAAACTTCAGAGCTTAGGCTCAAAACTGACAATCATAGATTCATAGTGTGAGAAAGGCCAAGCCCAACTGACTAGGGTAAAGTTATACAAAGTCCAGTTATATTATTAGATCATGGAGGTATAATTTTTTATACCTCCATGATTAGATTATCTGTATACTCAAGTTGACCATTAAAACTGTCAAACCAATTTAAGGCATTTATCAGGTGAAGGGTATCGATTCCAATGGTTATGCAAGTTAATACCATTGAACCTTAATACTACATTACAATAATACAAATCAATACAATTTATATTTTAAAAATGACGTTCCTTTACTACAATCCTTATAATCAATATCTGGATGAACAAAATTTGAATCCTTCATGGGAAATCTATTAGTTAAATAAAGCTTTGGGTTCTGTTTATAATTGTTTTCAATTGATAAATATAATGTTTGATAACTGTATCTGTCTGGAGGTATATTATAATATAATTTTTTTTGAATGATTACTTCTCACATTTTAAGAAAAGCCTTTAATTACGAAACAAATATAGAACTAAAATTATAACTCTTCCCCTAAGACATCTCTAAATTCATCAGGTGGAGGACTTATACTACCTCAGCCCCACGATGGTTGGGGCAGAGGTAAGAAAAAAAATTGCCATTATGGCACATCCAAATGGCTGGAAATTGCACTTCCAGACATAAAATTAGAATTTAATTTTCTTCATATCTCCATTTTGTTTCTTAAAAATCGAACAATTCAGGGGTGGGGGCCCAGGCCGATTGGGACCCCTTGAATCTGCCACTGGGTACTTTTGCAGTTGGGGGATCTTCACCTCAGCCCCACCATGGTTGGGGCTGAGGTAAGAAAATTGATGATTATGGCACCTCTAGATGGCGGGAAATTGCACTCTCAGACTTAAAATTTGAATATAATTTTCCTAATATCTATCACCATGAAAAAAACAAACAATTTAGGCCGCCACCCCCCCTCTTGAATCCGCCTCTGATTTCCGAGCAAATTCGAAGTCAAGATTGCTTTCACGATCTCAATGAATTATTTATCATGAGGGGTATACTTGATATGGGTATTCCCAGATGAAACCTTCACTTTTCCCCCAATGGATAAAAATTACCTGGAAATGATAATCCAACTGTGGCAGGTCCAGGAATTCAAAATAGAGGGGACCCATGGAGGGTCTTGCTCAAATGGAATGTCCACCCACCTTAGCCCCACAACGGTTGGGGCTGAGGTAAGAAAAAAAAAAAGAATGACACCTTTAGATGGCCGGAACCGGCACTCATATTAAAAGTTGAATACAATTTTGTCTGTTTTCTCCATTTAAAAAAAATTATTTTGAAAAAATTAGGAGGTTGGGGCCCGTGCTGACTGGGCTCCCCTATGAATCCGCCACTGTTCAATATAACACTTGACATAGCTTATTTTGTTTCACAAATGACTAATTCCTAATGTCAAGTGATTTTTTTATTCGAAAGATTTTTTTTATTCAATAGAGTTTTTACAACCTATAACACATTAACTACAGTGTACTGTAAATTTTGTAGTTAACCTTCTGAGAACTTTATTTTTTAAAATGACCTAATTAAGTATCTTATTGTTTTCGATATATTAGATGGAGTTGAAGGTTTACTGTAAGCCAATCAGTTACACTTAATGGTTAGCATAAAGAGAACTAGAACGTCGCTCCATAAAGAGTGCCTACCTCCACCCTATGACTATACAGAATGCATGAAGGCTGGCGATTCCATTCTTTTCTTCATGCTCGAAGGGGGGTTTCAGGGAAACTTTACAGACGTCAATCAACATTTTTTATTGCTCAATCAAAAAGGGAAATTTTAATGTTTGTTAGGAAAAAAAATCTATTATAATAACCAGAGCCTTGCAGGCGTCAATGTTCCTATGCATGATACATGACTTAAAATGTACATAGGCCCTATATATATATATATATACACGTGTATATATATATATATACGTACATATATATATACATACACATATATATGTATACACCTACGGTATATATACACGTATATATATATATACGCGCGTGTACATACATACGCGTGTGTATATATACGCATGTATATTATACGTATATATATACGTGTATATATACGTATATATATGTGTATATATATGTATACATGTGTATATATATATATACGTATATATATAATATATATATAAATAAAATATAAATATATATAAATAATATATAAGTAAATAATGTATAGACATATATATAAATAATATATATACATATTTTTAGTAATGTAATTCGACAGGCAAATTACAGTAATATTTTTAGCAAATTTCTTTGAAAAAATTTCGTAGGCATAGGGCCTAGGCCTAGCTAGGTATACAGTAATTTCATTTTACAGTAGTTTGGAAGGATATCAGGAGTGGGGTTGGGCCTACTAAGACTACAATTTATTTGAAGCTATCTTGGGTCCGATCGTCCACACCAGTTGGGCCCAATCGTCTGTCACCCGAAGTTTTCATTACGATGATCAAGAACGTATACCATCTAGGCCCTAGGCTAGAACGTATACCATTCTAGGCCCTAGGCTAGGCTTAGATTGCTCTGCTACGTATACTACTAGCTACCGCATAACAAAGAAAGCGACCCACGCGGTGCATTCTTAAATTGTACACACATTATTAAAATGTATTAGACCATGGATGATTAGACGATAACACGATATCACTGACTGAACGATCTACCACCCTCGCATCGCAGTAACTACTCTGTACTGAACTAGGCCTTGCTTTGGCCTAATGTTTTTGTGGAAAGTTAGATTG